GCAAAAAGACGTCGATGTCTGTCTCAATGTGTGTGTATGTGTGTGTGTCTGTCTGTCTATGGCATCATAGCTCTCAAACCGATGGACCGATTTCGATGCGGTTTTTCATTGGAAGACCAGTTTCCTTGCATTGGATCTTAGCTATGTTTAATTATTATCGGTTGGCAGTGTAAGAGTATTAGCTCTTTTCCAAATTGATATAGGCATTTTGGCGTACGATTACTTAATTAAGTGCTTCACGCGTGCCAGCGTAATCGTTAAATGACAATTAATTTGCGTAGGGGTTTTTTAAATCACATTAGATCACATTTTAAGCACTAAATTTGTGCATTTTTACTTATAATTAAACAATATTTCATTTGTACTAGGAACAACTTAAATTAAAAAAAGTATCTTCTTCCTCTGACTTACAATAATTATGTTGAGATCACATGTTTTGATGATTTGTTTCGTACTAGATTATTTATATTTTAACGAAAATCTCCAATCTCACACTTAAAATTGTCATTTCTTACCTCACGGTTCCTTATTTCATCTTCACAAGAATCATCAATGTCATAAATGGAGTTGGATTCTTCAGAATCAGACTCAACTAATGCTTTTCTTTTGGCTTTATCTACTTTTTCTTCTCTTTATTCTTAGGTTTTTTCCATATTAGGCACAATTGTTTCATGACCAAGGTACAATACATATACATTATTCATACATGGTGTACCTTGGTCAGTGTCCAAGGTATATAGTTAGTTGGGGGATCAAGGTTCAACATTGTAACAATTTATTTTAAAAAGGTTTATAAACGTACTTAAAATCAACATTTTTCAACTCCGCCTGTTCAAATTTCTGATATCGAGAAGACGTTAACCATTAATCAACTTACTATGACTAACCAACCTAACTGTGACCCTTTTGTTTTTCAAGAGATCTCAGAGGACGATGTTAAGAGAGGCATTCTTTCTACTACTTCTAAAGCCGTTGGGAGTGATGAAATTAGTCGTGATATGCTGCTTGTAACAGTTGATCACATCTGCCATATATTAACTCACATTTTTAATTTTTCATTGTCTTCTAGCTCATTTCCCGCGGCTTGGAAGTTAGCACATGTTATCCCCTTACCTAAATCTCCCAATCCTATTGTTCCCTCACAGTTTCGTCCTATCTCAATTCTTCCCATTTTGTCGAAAGTTTTTGAAGGCTTAGTATCTAAGCAGATGTGTCAGTACTTATTACGAAATAACCTATTAAATGCTTTTCAGTCTGGCTTCCGTCCTTCGCACAGTACGACTTCCGCTTTGCTAAAAGTCACTGACGATATTCGTTTCGCCATGGATAATAAGAAAGTGACTATTCTTATTTTGCTTGATTTTAGTAATGCCTTCAACTCAGTGGACTTCGATGTTTTACTTTCTATCCTTGCCTCCCTTAACTTCTCGTCTTCTGTGATTGATTGGTTTAAATCATATCTTTATGATCGCCAGCAGAGAATCTACTGCGACGAGACTATCTCAGAGTGGTCCAATCTCTTCGCAGGCGTCCCCCAGGGTGGTGTGTTATCGCCATTGCTTTTTTCAATTTTTATTAACCAACTCCCACAGGTACTCTCTTCTAACTACCACCTATATGCGGATGATCTGCAACTTTATAGACATGCTTTGGTCGGGGACTTAGCGTCTGAAATAGACAGGATAAACCTCGATTTGGCAAGAATCAAAGATTGGGCAAAGTCCTTCGGACTCCTTGTCAATCCAATAAAGTCTCAGGCCATGATCATTGGTAGTAAGCAGTTGCGGAACAAAATCGACTTCAACAATCTGCCTGACATCATCTACGATAACACTTGCATCAATATCTCAGACACGTGTAAAAACTTAGGTTTAACAATCGACTGCAACCTGTCCTGGGCTGCGCATGTCAACGAGGTCAGTAAGCGCGTACATTATTCACTTCATTCCTTGAGACGTTTACAGAATTTTCTTCCGTTTCAAACTATAATTACCCTAGCTCAATCACTGCTAATCCCTCTACTCGAATATGCCGACGTCTGCTATCTTGATGCAACCGAGGAGCTACTCGACAAGCTAGATCGCCTTCAGAATTTGTGCATCCGTTTTATATTTGGATTGCACAAATTTGATCATATAAGTATTTTCCGACGGCAACTGAAGTGGCTCCCCATTCGTTTTCGCCGAAACGTTCGTGTATTATGTGTGCTTTACAATATTTTGAAGACTTCTACACCTTCTTATTTAAGTGAACGCTTCACATTAGTGTCCCCTAGATGCAGACCAGTGCGTTCTTGTGTCAATTTGCCCAAACTAGTGGTTCCTCACTACAATACTACATTCTATAAAAAATCTTTTTCTGTTACGGCAGCAAGTTTGTGGAATTCACTGCCTGATTATATTTTCAAAGATGATCCCTCATTCTCAACATTTAAGTTTAGAATTAAACAATACTATTTATCAAATCAGACATAAATTATTGTAGATTAGTATGTATTTATATGTAAGTATATATGTTTGTTTGTATGTATGTATGTATGTATATATGTATGTATTTATATATGTATGTGAATATATATATATATATATATTTGTATAATCATAATATTTAGTTAATATATGTATTTTAATAATAAGACAATTCCATTCAATGCTGTACTGTACCTACACCGCACTATATTAACTTATTTTCTCACTTCTGAAGGGTTTCTGGAAGAAATCTCTTAAAGAGATAAGTTATCCTTTGTCAACATTTTGTTATTTTATTTTGTATAACGTATATTTTATGGTACATAAATAAATAAATAAATAAATAAATAAATAAATAAAATCGAGGTTGTGTTCCTACACTTATATCATCTGTTACCGGCATATACTGAGATTAGAGTGTAAATGAAAGTTTTTTATATATGTACATCATCACTACATAGTATAAAACAAAGTCACTTCCCGCTGTCTGTCTGTCCCTATGTATGCATAGATCTTTAAAACTACGCAACGGATTTTGAGGCGGTTTTTTTAATACGTAGAGTGATTCAAGAGGAAGGTTTTGTATGTATAATACATGCATATTATAGTACAGAAAAGCCGAGAAATTCAAAGATTTGTATTTCATTCTAACCGTTAAAACCTAGTAAATAATAAACACGCTATAGGTATAGTAAAAAACTAACTTTTTGAGCAAGAAATAATAAATGACCTTTTTTAATTTAATTGATGCGGCGGAAAAACATACATACAACACACACATTAAGCTTCCACCCATTCATTAATAAGGCTTTATGCATGCTGGTTCGATGAATTTATTATTAAAAAGACATTTCAAATAAAGTTACAGGTTTTACGCTTATACTCGTAGGCCATTTAAACGACCTAATGGTTAGATTAAGCAAAGATTGCCCAACTCATTAATTGTTCGACGCAAAAGCTGCGCGCACAAAGTTCAACAATTATGAGACTTAACAAGCTCGTAAAACAGGGTCCTTTCATCAGTAATTTACTTTTGGCTTATCACAAATAGGCGAGTGACTTTGAAGATGTTACAACCGCTTAAAAGGTGATTCAATTCTAATATGATTTTATTTTATTACGGAGCGATATTAACAAAATATTATGGTTTCACTTGAAAAGCAATTAATAGGAGAGATTAGTCAGTTATTATGGTAATTAAATTTGATTATGCTTAGAAATTTGTACTTTCATTTATGTTTAGTATGAATGATATAAAATATTTTTCGTAGCAAAATGTACTTTGTACAGTGTACTAATGACACGATTAATATAAAATGGCATTGTAGGTAGTAGTGTATGTACTACATACTCGTAGATACTGACAGGCACCAGTACCACACAGTATATGCCTATAGTAAGAATCCCATTATCCATACCTGCATAAAATTAGCAACAACATTGACTTCGTCCGCGTTTCCAGCAGCATATAGGTATATTCCTCAATTTTTACCCTCATTTTTCTATGCATATTGGGGGTGCCCATTATTATTTAGAAAAAAATAATTTTAGTGGTTTCTACTTTCACTTTTGTTCTATTCCATTTTAAGTAAAAAAAAGCAGACACTATGATATGAACTATTGCTCCAATTAAATTATATTAAAATTCTAAAAATAGTTCAAATTGCTTTTCTGTAAGGGTATTACTGTATGAAAAGAGACCTTAAAGTAGCTTGTAGCTTTCGAAATTGTATTTCAGGTAGTTGAAGAAGTTGTATTATTTTACTGTCGTATTACCTTTTCATTTCCATTTCCAACAACCTAAATGCTGGCAGTCTATTCCAAGAGCTAGGTGCCTTATAAATAAATACGCAACTATTGATACACCAGCCAAGTTTAAAAATAAGCTTTTACAATTAATAATAAAAATATTATCCTATATAATAATATTATGTAGATAGTTTTTGTGATAGCTAATACGTTTTTGTGTGTAATAAGTATATTTTTTAAAAGATTGTATTAAAACTATTCAATCACGATTTTCTTTTACTAGTTGCATTATGAATGACATATTATAAAGTAAATATGTATATACGTATATGGCTATCTAGATAGACTATCATATCGAATAGATACGTAGATATTTGAAGAATGAAGTTTAATCTTGTAGTTCAAGGTGATTTCTTTATAGAACGATAAACAATTCAGTGCTCACTCGTTAGTCGTTACACAACACTTGACAGCGACGCGTACGCACGCCCGACGACTCGTTTAGTAACAATGCGGACACGGAGGAAGTTCCCCTACTTTCATATCAGCGTTCAGGTGTATCTATCATAATCTTGGAAGATAATTGCTTCTGATAGCCCACTGACAGAAACGATGTGCATGTGTATACTGTAAATCGTGCTGTGTGTGATCCCGTTATTGATACAATTATAATTATTTAGAAAAATGATTCTGTACATATTAATTATTTTGATAGTGTCAATTATATTCGTAATCAAAATCTTTCAAAAAGTAACACATCGTGTGTGTCAATCAAGTGCTCATATGATTGGGAAAGTGGTGATAATAACTGGTGGTAACGGTGGAATAGGGTTTGAAACTGCAAAGAATTTAGCAGAGCGTGGCGCACGTGTAATTATAGCATGTCGTAGTGTCCGTCGTGCAGAGGACGCTATAAAGAAGATAACCGAGGCTACCGGAAATAAAGATGTTGAATATCGTCACCTTGATCTAGCATCATTTCGTTCTGTGCGTAAGTTTAGTGAAAATATTTTAAAAACTGAACAACGCTTAGACGTCCTTGTCAACAATGCTGCTGCCGGTGGTCTTGGCAACTATAAGACGGAAGATGGCAACCATATAGGAATGCAAGTTAACTATTTCGGAACATTTTTACTAACGAACCTGCTACTGCCAATTTTAAAATCTTCCGCACCAAGTCGAATTATAAATGTTTCTTCTATGATACATAAATATGCTGAAATGAATTTCGAAAATTTAAATATGGAGAAGTATTGGAGTGATTATTTAGTGTATGCAAACAGCAAATTATATTTAAATTTAATGACAATCGAGCTCAGTAGAAGACTGCAAGGAACGAATGTTACGGTCAATGCACTGCATCCTGGCGTCGCTGCTACAAAAAATCTCAGAATTATAAAAACTGATATAATACGCAGTTTTTTTAAGTTTTTTATTACCTTTATGCATTTGAATGTTTGGGAAGCAGCACAGACATCAATATATTTGGCAGTGTCACCAGAGGTTCAGAATGTGAGTGGTCGGTATTTCAGTAATTGTAAAGAAGAGAAACCTTCGAAATTATCCCAGGATATAGAAGTTGCAAAGAGACTTTGGAATGAAACGGAAAAAATAGTTAATTTTTCTTTAAATAAATATAACAGATGTACGATTAGTAGAAGTTGAGGCTTTATAAGACTTTTAGGCTCTATTATGGATATTAGTTTAAAGACGTAGTTAATTAAAAAAAGTAATTAGTTTGTTTAAACTGTTGCTTAATTCATAATTTAAAAAAAGTCTGACAGAGATGGCAGTAATATTTTATAGTACAGTATTTATTTTTATTTAGCCATTAAATATACGAATGCAAATATACTACTATACAACAACCTTCACCTATAGTTTCTTTAAGGAAAATACAAAGCTCAAAAAAACTAGCAATGTTATCTTTATAATATTAGTGCTTTGGTATTTTTTGATAAATTATTTGTTATATTATTTTAAAAGAATTATTTATCTAACGATGACGAACATATTTTATACATTTTATACGAACATATTCTTTTAATATTGTATAGCAACATTAAAATCGAAGGTCGTTTGTTCTGCCAAGCTCTAAATTATTGCACATATCCTACTATTATATTGTTCTATTTTTAAGGGAGTGGAATTAAAATAAAACCCATATAAAAGTGATTTAATTAAATTAACACTTTAAAAAGAAAATAAAACAGCACCTTCTCACCCAAGTTATTCAACAATAATTATATTAACTACTTATTATGCATTATATTATATAGATATGTATTTGTGTATGTAGTAGTATGTACATATATTATGTACATATGATATAGTATATATAATGTTTTATTGTATGTATATATAATATATATTTATTTAAGTATATATATATATATATATATATATATATATATATATATATATATATATATATATATATATATATATTTGAGTAACTGCACTTTACCCTGATTTTTAATGTCATCTCTCTAACTCTAAGTGAGTTGACTGGAAGAGATCTCTTCTAGAGATAAGTCCACTTTTGCTAACTAATTTTATTGTTTGTTAATCTCTGTATTTTACATATAAGTGCAATAAAGAATAGTATGTATATAAAGAATAGTATATAAAATAACATGGCCAGATTTTAAATTTTAATTAACAAAATTATGGAACTGTATAATATGACCTGTTTCAAATACATATGTACATACATTACATTGGTGCTAGTAGATATTGTACTCGAACTCGACATAATATTATGAGTAAAAATCTTTTTAAATTAACCTTTAGACTTGTCGTTGTTTCTTTGGGTTTAAATTATCACGATTTACGAAAATACCTAATATTTACTTGATTATTTCATTCATTCGTAATAATTAAAAGTTTTTATACATTTGAGCTAAACTAATGAACAATCTATTAATATGCATATAGGTAGATAGATACTGAAAATAATCGAATAAAAGAATAATTCTAAAATAGCGAATTTTATATTGACATGTAACAAATATGTAATGTAATGTAACAAGTAACTCGTTACTTTAACATTTTGTGATTACGTCCATTCAGTGAACGGCCCGGCCCTACTGTTGTTGGTCAAGCAATCAATAAGTCGACTTTAGTGCAGCATCTAAGCCTCGAGATTTTTAATTGTTTTTAAACGGTTTGTATTTGTGTTAATCTCAGTACATAACGGTATTCTGCAAAATACTTGTTGGTTTACTTCTTACTGCCCACGATTTTGCTAGCGTCACTAAGTAGAAGAGTTCCTGAGCGAGTGAGACAGCAATCACCTGCCTATACATATTATATCCTTTCTTATTACTCGACACGTTGTGCGCGTACGTCGCGAGTCGCGACTCTCGCGGGGGACTTGGAAGTGGAGCAAATGTGTGTCGTACTCGAAATATGCACCGTAATGATTTCACTATTCTATAGTAGGGGGCTAGCGTTGCATCATGTACACATTTGATTCGGTGGACTCTGCTAGAAAATGAATACCCGTTTTATATGGAAGACTTATTTATGTTGTATGTTGCAGTAAGACTGTTTTATCAGAAGTATTACGTAAAATCGACTTAGATAATATTTATCTTCTATTTTAACAACCTACGAATATAAAAAATCAAAAGTTAAGATATTACTAAATCTCAGCTTTATTATAAATATACCTATCAATTTTTTGGTGTTGTTGAAGGATTATTTTTCCGTTTTAAATCTTAAGAGAATGAGAACTTACAGGAGAAAAATAAAACATGATATTAGTGCAATACTTCTTGTTGTGAAAATAGGAGTTATGTTTATACCTACAAAAAAGGAACAATCAGTAAAATTCTTTCAAATTTCAGTTACCTCACTCACGATTTTTTAGATATAAAATTAATAGATTTGTTATAGCCAAATAAAAAACAAGAAAAACTATTAATTTAATAACAGTATCATCTGTTCGCCTTTTTTGTTCGTACATCGAAGTAATCGTTTTTTTATTATTATTTATTATACTATTTTCCCATTTGCAATCTTATTCTAATATGGATCATATTTTAAATAGATACTTACCTTTTTCAGTAAGTAGTTACCTATTCTGTGACAATGTTTGTCGAACTTGTTTTTTTTTTAAATGTAAATACTTGTACTGATTTATTTTAAATTGCTTTTTGCTCAAGTACCGTAAGATAACGGTTGTGACTCAATACTATTGTAATAAGACGGAGAGAATATCGAGAATGTAAGTAGCTATAAGGTTTAGTTCCTACCATAATGTTTGCCTAGTCATAAAGTGTTTCATTATGTGATTGGATCATAATTGATGATACCACTCATGGATCCATAATGTTCTGTAATAAATTATCGGCTGACAAACATTTATTTGCACGTTCCGGAGAATTGTAAATGATTATTGTTACATTAATGATAATGTTTGGTTCTATTGAATCAATAAAATCTTTTTATCCTTAATCAACATACGAATATATAAAAATCTCTTAATATAACAAAATTACAACGGGTAAATGCTATATAAAGAATTGTTATTTTTTGATTTGTTTCAAAGACGAGGTGCTCAATTTAGTTGTATCTATTGTATCTATGTATTTCTGTATAATTTCAGATATCTTCGTTAATTGCAGTAATAACCTCAAGCATGATCCCATATACATAAAAAATATTATTTACCTCTAACGGCGGTAGAAGTGGTATCTACCTGCCTAGTGGTCAGTGTCGGTCTAGTGGTTAGCATGTACGGCCGCAGATCCGGAGGTTCGAGTCCCGGATCGGCCGGCCGGTCAATTATTGAGTATTTCTCCCAAGAAATTCTCAGTAACAGCCCGGAGTTGGAAAGTCCTGCGCTCTAGCTCTCACTGGTAGTGTCGTCCCACTGGAGTATGAGAGTGACAAGAATAGAGTGTGCACTTGTATTTGTTACCATACTTGTGCGCTGTAATATCTGTGAATTTTTTTTATATTATTTTGTTATACAAGTAATAGCTTAGTTAAAAAAACTTGCTTCATTTTCGGCCGAGTCGAACCAAAGATGGAACGAGAGTTCCCTTATCTATGCTTCCATATTTAACTGATTGTCATGTTTATTGGTTGTGGGCTAGTTTGAATTACGAATTCGGACGGAAGCGCAGATATTAGAGTTCGTTAATAAAAAATAATATTTAGTGTAGGTTTTTAGAGGAATTGAATATACCTATGTATTTTATAAAAGTAGAAGCAAATTTTATTTAGTTTTAAATAAAGGTTAAAAGTTTATTGTGGTCTTTTTATTTTTGCTGGCAATTTTATTTTTATTAAGCTTCATGCAAAAAGTAGAGCAATATAGGTACGTGAATTTATCAAGAGTTAATATTTATTATTCCATTCACGCTTGTGAGTGCAACAAAACTCACAAACTGGCATAAATTTTTACAATTTTTACTTGTACTATAGTATTGTAAAACAGGACTTCGTCCAGTAATGTATTAGTAAACTAGTAGTAAGACTAATAAATAAGCTTATCTACAACTACAAATAATAAGTGTATCTGTAACTATAATAAAAAAATGTATATATACATTCTAATTTACAAATTACATCATCAGTATAAAAAAAATGTAAAAAGATCAATTTGTGTATTGTTTATTTAAATTAGACTTTAAAAGATGTTTGGAATGTAAAAGAAGCGTAACAACTTAATTATAATTATTACTAATTTATAACTATTAATAGTTTTGGCCGTCTATTTGTCTGTTCATTTGGAAATATTATTTCTAACCAAGCTCTTTGCAATAAAAGGGAAAAGAAACAAAAAAAAAAACTCTGTTATGTGATAACTGTTGTGTAGAATAATTGGAAATTAAAGATGATCTCTTGCAATGTGTAAACTTTTTTATTGCTATCATAAATACCGGAGGTTATGTGAAATATCTCACTCCATATTTTTATTTTATTATAAATACAATTTTAATAATCGATGTACTACTTTTAATAGTAATAAATAATAAATTTCATTGAAACAAGGGATAGAAGTTGTATTAAAAATGTGTTACTGTCACTATCGGGTCCCGTCATTAAGAAAAAATAGGTCCAATAACTGTCAATAGATGGCGTTATATGTATCAATGTATTTGTTATGATTTTTGTAAAAATAGTAATTACCAAATTATTATTTATTATATATTAATTTTTAGACTATTATAAAATAAAGAAATAAAAAATGTTCAGGTTGTAGCTTTTGTACGAAACATATTTTAATTTGACGAATAGCTCTCGGGTAAGCTCCAGAGCTCTAGTGTCTGGTGGGTGTTAGGACCACGGATAAGATCTGGCAATAGTTAATACTTTATAGGTATAATCTTGAACAACATTTTGTAAATATCAATTTCTAATCGATTTGTCGCCTTTCGTAATAATTTGGACTATATGCTCGACATATATTTAGTTTATGTAATTAAATTTAATATTAAAAGAAAGGTTAGTTAAATTTAATATTTTAAACGAAAGAATATTTGGAACCTTATAGCGTGTAGGAGTGACAAATTCAATCACTCACATAATTTCACGTTTATAATACGTGATTAGATTTAGTGATTACTTTTAGATTTGCTTGTTGACACTACCCTGTTTTAGGCTGACAGCTATTTCAATATAACTGTCAATAACTATCTTTAGAGTCAGGCAATAGACAAACTTCGCATAACAGAATTGCTTTCTTGAATATTATTGTAGAAGTTGATAGGAACAACGTACTTGTAAAGCGTAAGTGTATGGTGCACTTTAAATTACCTATATCATATGTTTTATACACATTTTTAATATTATTTTATTATTATTTATTTAATTATTGTTTCGCATTAATATTTTTGTAATAATGAAACGTTTTCAAACAACAATAATAGTAATTATAATTCATTAATTGTACTTTAAATAATTTATTTGGAAAACACAACTTCACTAAATTTAGTAGGAAAGGGGATTTCACAAGGTTGTGTTAGAGAGATCTCGTGTTAAAAATTTAAGAAATATTTAGAATTATCAAATCCAAATATATGTACCTACATATATTAAATTGCTATTTTAATTATGAAGGAAGCAGTGAAATGAGTTAGATAAGCAGACATGCCGGATGAAATTGCGAACGATATAAGGATGGAAATTCTCTGAACACTTCTCGATGCTCTTAGATGAGGCTTTTTATGGATGCAAATATTTAAAAACAAACACCACAGCAATATTTGTATTATAAAGGGCATAAGTTCGTTTATAAATTCGTCGGAGTTACTGCGACAGCGGTAATTGAACTTCGAATGAACAGTTAATTAGCGAATACTAACGAGGTAATCGGTCATGTGCTAAATTTTCATTTATTTATATGGTACTCGTATAGTCGTAGGAGTAAATTGAAATAGCTTTATGGACTAAAAAGAACAACATATTTGTGGTTGTTTGATTTAACTGCAAATATTAATGGTAGTTTATTTTAAAAATATGGTATTATTTATATTTTAGGGTGCCGTACAAATATATTGCCGATGAAACTCTTTTACTAATTCTTCTGTTCTGTCCGTCCATCATCTTTTACAAACTTTCCCTTTCCCCGCGTTGCAGGATCCATTGCACACTCAACTACGAAGCCCCGACCGTTGTTGGTCTACCCAGGTAGACTCTACTACCAGAGTGTTGCTCCCACAGTTCACTCTGTGTGCCTCCCTAGCATAAGCAATATTTTGTTAAAGTATATATATATACTTTAACAAAACTTTTTTATATATATATATATATATACTCATTTAACTTTTTTTTACACTATCTCTAAAAGAACGGAAATATGAGCTGCCTTGTGGTAGGTTCTAGAGCCGCACTTTGTGTTTGCCAGACCGAAAAATACGCTCAAAACTTCCTAGGTGTCCTTCGCATTTATTATTACGAAAATTTTCAGAACGGCCAATCTTTCCCGATATCGTACATCAGTCTTTGTACAGTCATCATATCAGTAGCTTATTTTCGTAATATACTCATTAATATTTATTAATTTCAAAGATATTGGACGGCTGACCTTAACACGTGACTATGATAAACATATCTAAGTTACTAAATTATCAGTGAAAGGAACGAATATTATTTATAAATTTTATAGCTCTTAAATATTATTCAGATATATCACAATGTTTCTTTGGGTGATGTTCAGTTTCTTAGTGTTTCTGTTTTCAATAAAGATTTATCATAGATTAAATTTGAAAGTTTGCCAATCGGGTGTTCATATGGTTGGAAAAGTAGTTATCGTAACTGGTGGTAATAGTGGATTAGGTTTCGAGACAGCCAAAAATTTAGCTGAGCGTGGAGCACGTGTAATCATAGCATGTCGCAGTGTTCGACGTGCAGAGGAAGCTGTTAAGAAGATCATTGAGATTACCGGGAATAAAGATGTTGAATATCGTCACCTTGACTTAGAATCATTTAGTTCAGTGCGCCAGTTCTGTGAGAATATATTAAAAACTGAACAGCGTGTAGACGTCCTTATCAATAATGCTGGTGCCGGCGGCCTCGGTAACTATAAGACGGAAGATGGCAACCATATAGGAATACAGGTGAATTACTTCGGAACATTTTTAATAACGAACTTGCTGCTACCACTTTTAAAATCTTCCGCTCCAAGTCGAATTATCAATCTTTCATCAATGATACATAAATACGCAAAAATGGACTTTGAAAATTTAAATATGGAGAAGTATTGGAGTGATTATTTAGTTTATGCAAACAGCAAATTATACATAAACTTGATGACGATCGAGCTTAGTAGGAGACTGCGAGGAACGAATGTGACGGTGAATGCTGTTCATCCTGGCATTGCAGCTACCAATATTTTTAGAAATATAAAGCCTAAAATTATTTTTAATTTAGTAAGTAAAATAATTAGATTTTTGTTTCTTAGTAATTGGGAAGCAGCGCAAACAACAATATATCTCGCTGTATCGCCGGAGTTGCAAAAAGTAAGTGGTCGATATTACAGTAATTGTCGAGAACAAAAACCATCGAAGTTGTCTCAAGATTTGGAAATTGCTGGAAAGCTCTGGAAAGAATCAGAAAAATTAACAAAATATACGCCAAACGATAATAATAATTGATCTTTATAAAGAAATACAATCGAACAGGCAAAGATTCTAATACATAACATTAAAGATGGGACAATAAAGGATACTCAGCTAAATAAAGAAGACTTAGATATTTTTAAAAGTTTTGTAATAGTTTTAAATAAAACTATGTTTTCGGATTTTTTCTATTATTATTTTTCTATTATAGTATTTTTTTTGTGTATGTTCATACATTTTTCTGAGATGAGAGTTTGACCGATCTGGATATTTTAAATTGTATTCTATTATTTGTTTAAACTTTAAAGTTTAGTGGGTTCATTCATGGTGACACTATAAAATTTTCTTATAATAAAATTGAAATGAAACGTTTAAACCTAAAAAAGAATTAAATCGACTTAAAGGCATTAAAAAGTTACTTTTACTTAATGAACGTTTTCTCTAATAACAGGTTCTATATTTTGTATTCAACTTTTAACTTTTATTATATTGTACTTGAGAAACAGTGGTCGCGTGGTAACGCGCTCGCTTGGGAAACCGAGTGAAATGGGTTTAAATCCCAGGTTTCGCACTTTTGATATTTTCATATGTGAAAAATTTCTAGCATGATTACCACTTGCCTTACGATGTCTATGATGCCTATGTCACTCTCCAGCCCTCCAACTATTTCCACACAAAAAATCACGCCAATCCGTTTCAAAGTGAAAGAAGGACAAACAAACACACTTTCACATTTATAATATTAAAGTATGGATATATATGTGTTTTTTAATATAAGTTGTAACTTTTCATTTTTCTCAATATACACTTAATATCATTACATTTTTGTCGTGTTTACAGATAATTATCTGTTCTTGCATTAGGCTGTACATGTTACGTATTACGTGTCGCTAATTTATGAAACAATGAATTATTCATGAAGCATACAATAAATCAACAAGTGTTAGTTTGTATTAAAGTATATCTGCATAATCCTTATTGTTGTCATCATCCGAATGGAGTCAGATCAACGTCAACTAGGTCGCGACTCTATGCTCAAAATGCTTTTAACTTAATCCATACAATCCAATCGTATCGTTTTATGTTTAATAAAACTTCTGTTCATTTTTCATAATTTTGAAGATTTTTATTGTATACTAGCAGAACCCGTAGCTTCGTCCGCGATCAAACTACAAAAAAAATTTTTTTTTCGCAATACATACTTTATTATTTGCAAAAATACTTCGTGTTTCATATTATTTTTTAAAGATATATGGAAAACAAATTTAATTTTAGCGATCGTAACTCAAAATATCCAGGATTTGAAAAGATATTAAACGTAGATATATTTTGTAAACAAATTTTCATTATAGGTACTAAACAAGCTCCACTGCCTTTTTTGCACATTTTTCTACTCCATCGTTCTAAAGTAAGAGAATACAATGGTACAACTCGCATATTCGCATATAATGTTTGCGACTCTAGAATCATGTAACTTGGCTAATATGGGCTTTTCAACTAACATACATATTTTTTTTAATATTATGTATTCATTTATATAATCACTCTGGATTCACTTAATTTGGTCTACGCTAAAAAACCAACTACAAATATATTACTTTGGTGGATGTTGTGTCTAGTTGTGGGTTCTGTTAAAATGTCCCCGTGGGAAGCAATCCTCTCTTAAGTCTATGTATGCTGAATATATTTCGAAAAATCCTTTCTTAGCGGATGCTTATATTGTATAACGAATATATCCTCCAAATTTTACGTTTCGGCTGTTTAGACTGTACGTTGATCGATCAGTCAGTCGGTCAGGACAAAACATTTTAGGTATTTATATATAGATACATATAAATGATTTGCTGTAAATAGCAAATTTTATCTACATTAAATACCCAACGTTACCAACTAATTTAATTATATAAGGATTAATATTATATTGGTCAAAGTAACTTCGAAATTAAAACCCATAAAAGTAAACTTAAGTATATAAAAATTACTGTGGTTTATCCGTAAGAAATAGACATATTTTATATGAGTTATCCGCGGAGTTTTTTTAGGAATTTAAAAGAACTATAATTCTCTAGTACATCATTTTTATGTATCTCTTAAGGTTTAGTCTACGTAAGCCATGTAAATTATTTTTTCGGTAACTTGGTTGTAAATTTTGTCTACCTATATAAAAACTTAATTAGGTTTTATTATATATAAATCTTCCGTGAAAAATTATCTAACTGGTGGTGTAACCGCATCAAAATCTGTTGCGTGGTTTAGGAGGAGTTAGAGAATATACAGACAGACAGACGCAAAAAAACATTTTTGTTTTATACTATGTAAGGACAATGAAACAAAAAATCTTTTCATGATGATGAGAAAAAAAATGTGCGACAACATTTTGTGCTTTTAATAAAAAATATTTTTAAATCAATTATAATGTACAGACACGACGCTTGCAATATAATTATACTTCAAGGTAACTTATCATAAATCAAATAAAAGAGTATCTTTTTTAGCAACTATGTAAGGACATTGTGACCATGAACTTTTGGGTTTTCGTGATTAAGCAAGATTAGTTGGGATGGATTTTTATGTTTTAAATTTAATATATTGCGTAAAAAAAAGATTAGTTACTACGAGTATTTTTGGTATTTTATGACACTGTGAATAAAGGTCATAATAAGTCATAATATAAAGTAATCTGTTCTTAACATGAGATATTATTTCAGTTCAAAAAGGTTCTTTACCTATCGATAATAATGATGTACATATGTTAAGGTTAATTTTTATTGATATATGACGGCACGTTTGGCTCGGTTTGTAGAGACCGTACTTGTTGAGCCAGCGGTCGCGGGTTCGAGTCCCGCTGGGGGCATTCATTTGTGTGACGAGCACGAATGTTTGTACTCCAGTCATGGGTGTTTATATTTATAATACGTATGTATCTAAAGTTATATAATATGTGTAGTGTAACAACTATCTGATATCCATAACACAGGCCCCATAGCTTACCATGGAACTAGATGGTGTTGTGTGTTATTGTCCCAACATATTTGTTTTACTTATTTATTATTTTGATTCTCTAAATTGACATACCTTTTTTTATTTTGAACCGATTGAAATAAAACAAATAGTAAATGTTAAGTGAAGCTTACTACAATGCATTAGTGAACCGCACCCAAATCAGTTAAGCCGTTTCTGAGATTAGCGCGCACAACCGCACAGATAAACGGACAAAAATTCTTAAAATCCTTGTTTTGGGTTCTATTGCGTTAATAAAGACTCCCAATAATACTTTTTTTTTTCAAATATCCTCCATGTACAGACAGCGCTCAGTTACACTTTTGTTATATGTATAGATTATTATTGTGATTGTAAGCCTTTTCAAAATTCTTATTTTAAAGTTAACACGGACCTGTTACATAAATATGGAAAATGTTAATTGGGAAAGCTTTACAAATTTTTATGCAAATGAAAAATTACCGAGGGATTCTTCTACCTTTTAATTTTTCATTTAAATTCAAATGCTTGTGAAGGTATTAAATGAAATTTTAAATTAAAAGAGTTTAAGTATAATGATTGAAATGTAATAAATCAAATAGAATTTAGTGTCTCTGTGACGCACTTAGTACAAATGGATGCAGGCAACCAGTATTATATATATTGTGAACACTAGGTATAGAATGTTCAATTCAAATCAATTTTCTTGTTTTAAAGGCTTCAAAGCGTGCCAGTTGACTATAGAATGTTTTCTGGTGAAAACATTCTATAATCAACTGGTTGGTTGGCTGGTGGTTGGTGGTGGTGGTGTTCGACCTGGTGGTCGAATTATAAAATTATAAGTCTTTCATCTTTGACTTTGAATATTATATATGGTAAAGTCTTAATGCGATATGATATGATATAAATCATTGAAATTTTTGTATGAAGGAGAATTCTGCCGAACCAGTTATTGTGTTTTTCGGTAGGAATGAGAGATTTTCCTGTAGTAAATTGTATCCTAAATAGTGACCTGAGTAATAAGGTATCATCACTCATTTAGTTAAAAACGGGTCAGTATTTTTTGCGTCAAAAGCAAAATGTTAAATAGATATTCAGACAAACAGACAATAATTACAACACAATTGTTTGGGATCTAAATTCTCAACACAATAGAAAGCAAATATTGTTTTTAAAATATAATTCATGTACGGAGTTGTTTTTTTTACTATTTTATTATATGTATGGATAATATATTCATGTAATAGATTAAGGGCGCATCGAGGCAGCGAAACGTAATTACGAAATATTGCGTTCGTTTGATCCCTTGCTGTATTGTTATTACTAAAACTTTAATTATGTAATTAGCATGTAGGATATTTAAGGATTTATTCTATCTTTATATATATAATTCTTCTGTGAGTGTGTATGTCACTGAACTTCTCTCAAACGACTGGACCGATTTTGATGAAATTTTTGTGTGTGTTCAAGGGGATCTGGGAATGGTTTAGATTCACAATTTGAATAATAATTTTCATCAAAAAAATTATTAAAAAAAGTTTGAAATTTTCAAATTAAAGACGTGTAGACAGGACAACGTCTGTCGGGTCCGCTAGTAAATATATATATATATATATATATATATATATATATATATATATATATATATATATATATATATATATACTTTAGAAATTTCTTTGATAGAAAAAAAAACAAAATAATCTCTAAAAAACAAAATAAACCCTTAGTGTGGCGCAAATAATTCAAGGAAGTTTATCAGTTTTTAATAGTACCAAAACTATACGTTTTCTATAACGTATGTACACTTTACATATCCAAAATATGTATTTCTTTTAATAATAAGAAGGAAATACCTAAATTCGCACGCGTTCCGTCTATCCCAGCCACACTCCCTCCTATCCGTTTTAGTCATACTGAAATCAATTAGCGCCAAAATCTCGGTGCCCTCTTAATAATGTATGTTTAATGTATATCTCATATTATTTTATCTAACTATTCGTATTAGATTTGACATGAGTCACCTTGTGGCGCTTGTCCAAGTCAAAGCATTT